CTATCCATCTTCTATCCGCCTCCCCCTCTCTCCCTATTTATTTCAGAACCCCCTTCCCCTCCCCCATTTCTGAAGAAGGGTCTAGGCCCGAAACGTCAGCTTTCCTGCTCCTCTGATGCTGCTTGGCCTGCTGTGTTCATCCAGCTGTGCACCTTGTTATCTCAAAATTTCGAGTCCAGTTTGACTCTTCTGCAGTGAGTTCCAAAGAAACATCATACCGGACTCGAAATGTGAACTCTGTTTCACTCCGTTTCTCCCCACAGATGCTGTCAAACTTGTTGAATTTCTCCCGCGTTCTCAGCAACATTTACTATTTTTCCGGCGATTAATTAACATTGAAGGTCACTCAATTTCAGAAAATCTCCTTGTCTTCACTATTACGATCTCTGATAAATAAGCAGGCTCTGTTGACTAAAAGGCAATTCAATAACATTGTAGATATTCTTCCCACAGTGATGAAATAATGTTAAACCCAGTTTGGAGGTGAATTTTGAATTAGTTTGTGCAAGATTTTAACAGAGTATGTCTCTATTGACAAGTGTAGCCTGCGTAAGGAAACAATTTTCTCACCTCTGTTCTGTTAATATCTCCAAGATGTCTCAGTTAGCTCCAATGTGCGCCTGGAATCTTCATGAGCTAGGAAGCTAACATTTTGTGGAATGGTCATGTTCATAGCTTTGCGGACAAGAATGCAAGGTAAGGTCTCTCACCCAGAGCAAGCAAAACATCGGAGCACCCACATTTAAAAGCAGTGTTGAAGCTCTTTGTGACCAATGTTCCCAATGTACATGCATTTATGGACAATTCCTACCAATGTTATGAGCCCTCATGCACCTTACTAACGCATCTGTTCAGGCTATAATAAGACCATAGAACATTGGAACAGGAGTAGACCATTAGGCTCCTTGAGCCTGTTCCCACATTCCTTATGTTCACTTTCCTGCCCTTTCCCTCGATTCCCCGACTGATCAAGCTGCTCAGCCCTTAAATATACACAAGTACTTTGCCCCCCTCTGTGGCAAGGAGTTCTAAAGACTCGCAACCCTCCGAGAGAAGAAATTCCTCCTCATCTCAGTTTTCAATTGACAACACTTTATTCTGAGACTGTGCCTACTGGTCCTAGACTCTCTCATGAGGGGGAAACATCCTCTCAGCAATGACCCTGGCATACCCTGAAGTGTTTCAATGAGATCACTTCTCATTCTACTAAACTCCAGCGAGTAGAGTCCCAATGTGTTTAACCTTTAAAAGCTAAAGACAAGACGATTCCTCCTTACTGGGGTTATAGAAACATAGTAGATATGAGCTGGTGTATGCCATTCGGTCCTTTGAGCCTGCTCTGTCATTCATTGGGATTGTGGTGAACCATTGAGCTCAATACTCTGAATCCACCTTACCCTCCCATCCCTTCGTCCCTTTAGCCCCAAAAGTTACATCTACCTCCTACTTGAAAACACATTCCTTTAATATTTTGGCTTGAACCACTTTCTGTGTTAGTGAATCCCACAGGCTCCCCACTCCTTGGGTAAAGACATTTCTCCTCAGCTCAGTCCTAAAAAGTTTACTTCTTATCCTTAATCTATGACTCCAGTTTTGGACTCCCCAGTCACTAGGATCATCCTTCCTGTATTGATCTTGTTTAGCCCAATTAGAATTTTATAGGTTTCTTTGAGATACCTGCCCTCATTCTTCTAAACTCCAGTTAATATAGTCCTTAATGATCCAATCTCTCTACATCCATCCATCCTGCCATCCCAGGAATCAGTCTGGGAAACCTTCACTGCACTCCTTCCAAAGCCAGAACATCCTTCCTCAGATAAGGAGATCCAAATACAATGCTCCAGGGTAAAGTCCGACCCTGTACAATCGCAGCGACTCATGGACTCCTGGACTTGAATCCCCTATGAAGGCCAACATCCCATTTGCCTTCTTCACTGCCTGCTGTCCTGCAATGCTCACTTTCAGCCATGGTGTGCAAGGGACACCAGGTCTCATTGAACATTTCCTTTCTCTGAACTGCCTCCAACAAAATAACATCTTACCTCAAAAGGAGGGGAGCAAAATACAGTTGAGGAAGTCAATAAACGTTCAACCACAATCCTAAATATCCCTATGCACCAGATAAGATGCCATGACAAAAGTTAAGGAAGTGACACTAACCTGAAAGGACTACTTAAACTGTGGACCTTTGTTCTCCAAGGGAGATAAAAGCTAAGATGCTAGCACATCCACTCTTAAGAAGGATCAAAAGTTTGAAAACACATACCAACAGATACAAGAACAGCTGCTTCCATGTTGTTATCAGACTTATGAACGGACTTCTCACATATTAGAGTTGATCTTTCTCTGCACCTTCTTGGGTGGCATGGTGGCTCAGTGGTTAGCACTACTACCTCACAGCATCAGGGACCTTGGTTTGATTCCACCCTCAGGTCACTGTCTGCGTGGAGTTTGCGCATTCTCCCTGTGTCTGTGTGGGTTTGCTCCGGTTTCCTCCCACAGTCCAAAGATGTGCAGGCTAGGTGGATTGGCCATGCTGAAGTGCCCATAGTGTCCAGGGATGTGTGGTTATAGGGGGATGGGTCTGGGTGGGATGCTCTGAGGGTCGGTGTGGACTTGTTGGGCCGAAGGGCCTGTTTCCACACTGTAGGGATTCTATTCTATTCTCTGCAGCTGTAACACTATATTCTGCATCCTGTTCTATTACCCTGATGTACTTATGTAAGGTATGATTTGCCTGGATAGCACGCAAAACAACACTTTTCATTTTAATCTCGGTACATACGACAACAACAGATCAAATCAAAAAAGTATGATTTTAAATATTAAAACTGTTCTCTACTTACTTTTCATGGACAGACAGGCTGCCAAAAAGGCACAAATCAGATTAAGTACTATGAAAGTTGTAGAAGCCAATGCTATTGTCAATATAAGGCTGGAATCTGAGAAAAATAATCAACAGAGTTCTGTAATTACATGGTTTTGAAACATTTTCTCATTAACCTGCATCAGAGGCATTAATATACTTAGACCAGCTCTGGTGCAGGTGGGACCTGAACATTGATCTCCTGGCCAAGAGGTAGGGACAATGACCACTGTGCCACAAGAGCCCCTACCAGGTATAATCATCAAAATTTTTAACCAGTCTGTTCAGATATGTTATGACTGATATCTGGAGCAGATGGGACTTAGAACCTAGATCTCCTGGCTTAGAGGTTGGGGACACTACCATTGCACCACAAGAGGGAGCCAGTACAGCAACAATTTTTAAAATTTAACCTATTTTTCTCGGAGATGTTACAACACACCTCTGGAGCAGCTGGGACTTCAACCCAGGCCTCCTGGTCCAGGGGTAGGGATGCTACCACTGTACCACAAGAGGGCCTTGTATTGTGATTTTTTTTAAAATTTAGCCTATTTTTTTGATCAACCTGCTCAGACATGATATTACACAGTTCTAGAGCAGGTGGCGCCTGAACTAAAATCTTCTGGCCCAGGGATAGGGACACTACCACTGCACTAGCCTCAGCCCCAGTTCAGTGATACTAGCTTTATAATAATCGCAATCATCTGCATCATCTATCTAACTATAGTTGGCCAGTCATCATTGACTATTATACTTTCAGAAGCTGTAGACACATGCGCAAACCAAATGAATTATTGATTGAGTAGTTTGCCTGGATAAGTGCAATGGTAAAACCCCAGAAAAATTGTGTCTTGCTTCAGCAATCCTCAAGCTACAAAAACAACATACTGTTTCTTACAACACTACAATAAAATGTCAGAACTAAGTTGATAGTCGACTTACTTAGCTTCGTCACAGCTTCATCGGTTGGTTTTGGTTTTGGACGGTCTGAAACAAGAAATTGAAAGGCCTCGATTTTTAATTCACAACTTCAGAGTTAAAGGCTCGGCCACTGCTTTTGCAACACCTGGACTTTTATTCCTTGAGGTTTGACCATTTCCACTTCGAAGGACACAAGCAGCAGATACACGGGAATACCACCCACTGCAAGTTCCCCTCCAAGCCACTCACCATCCCAACTTGGAAATATATCAGCTGTTCTTTCAGTGTCGTTGGGTCAAAATCCTGGAATTCCCTCCCTAAGGGCATTGTGGGTCAACCTACAGCACATGGACTGCAGTGGGTTCAAGAAGGCAACTCACCACCACCTTCTCAAGGAGGCAATTAGAGACGGGAGCGATACATGCTTGACTCAGCCAGCGATGCTCGCATCCCATTCAGTGTCCCAGCATCCACCGGACTCCAGATAAGCTCAATACTATATGTCAAAAATTCTGTTTAAATATTATTGTGAAAGATCTTCCCCATTCATAGAATCTAACTCCCTCTGATTGGGTCATATAGCACAGAAACAGACCCTTTGGCCCAACTCTTTCATGCTGACCAAGTTTCCTAAACTAAACAAGTCCCATTTCCCTGTGTTTGGCCCACATCTGTCTAAACCTTTCCTATTCATGTACCTATCCAAATGTCTTTTAAATGTTGTAACTGTATCTGCCTCTACCACTTCCTTTGGCAGTCCTCTGTGTGAAAAAGTTGGGCCTCAGGTCACTTTTAAATCTTTCTCCTCTCACCTTAAAACTATTCTGCCTAGTTTTGGACTTGCCTACCCTGGTGAAAAGGCCTTGTCTATTCACTTTATCTATGCCCCTCACAGTTATATAAACCTCTATAAGATCACCGCTCAATCTCCTATGCTTCAGTGAATAAAATCCCAGCATATCCAACGTCTCCTTTTAACTCAAACTCTCCAGTCCCGGTTTCGCCCTTGTAAATCTTTTCTGCACCCTTCAATTTAATGATATCCTTCCTATAGCAGGGAGACCAGAACTGAAAGCAGTATTACAAAAGTAGCCTCACCAATATCCTGTACAACCACAACATGACATCCCAACTCCTAGGCTGAGTGCTCTGACCGATGAAGGTAAGTATGCCAAATGCACTCCTCACCACCCTGTCCACCTATGATGCAACTTACAATGAACTAATGGCCTGAACCCCAAGGTCTCCCTGTTTGACAATGCTCCCTGCCATTAACTGTAGAAATCCTGCCCTTCTCTGCCATTTTTCACATTAAACATCACACAGCAGAGTTCATCAATAATAAACTCACCTATCACAGTAACTTCAAACCAGTCACTCTGGGCAGTGTAGACACTTTTACCGTTGACATCAATAAGGCAGTGACATGAGTAATTCCCCTCCTCACAATAAGTCACATTCGCTATTGTGACAGTTGTGTTGCTCTTCGCTTCCGCAATTTGCAGATACTCATTTTGTTTGTGCCCATGCTTGAAGATGAAACACTGACTGCTGGCAACGGTGTGGCAACTCATGGTGAAATTTTCGCCTTCAAAGACCTCAGCTGGAGCCAGTTGGAGGACACTCAAAGGTGCCTTGATCCCAGCTGGGAAACAGAGAAAAAGGAAATTAGTCACACCACTTTAAAGAACTGTGATAATGTCAACTTTTAGAACTTTAATAACTGTTTGTGGTTTCAGCAAATGAATAAAAGATAATCTGTTGCACAGAGGAAAAAGCAGCAATAACTGTCTGGAATAACAAGGTGTAGAGGTGGATGAACACAGCAGGCCAGGCAGCATCAGAGGATCAGGAAAGCTGATATTTCGGGTCTGGACCCTTCTTCAGATTTTTGCAGAAGAGTCCAGACCTGAAACATCAGCTTTCCTGCACCTCTGATGCTGCCTGGCCTGCTGTGTTCATCCAGATCTACACCTTGTTATCTCAGACTCCAGCATCGGCAGTTCCTACTATCACTGTCTGGAATAAGTTGTTTTGCGAGATGAAAGGAGCGAGGAAAAGCTGTTATAAATTAATTCGAAGCAACATGGCAATTAACTATCCCTGGGAAGAATCACCATAAACAAGTTATTTTGATTTGATTTGATTTAATTTGATTTGTTTTATTACTGTCACACCTACTTAGGCACAGTGAAAAGTACTGTTTTGTGTGCTAACCATCCAAATAATACTTTATGCAGAATATAGTGTTACAGCTACAGCGAAGGTAAAGAGAAAAATCAACTCAAAGATATGAGAGGTATGTTCAAAGCCTGGTAACAGCGGGAAAGAAGCTGTTCCTGAATCTGCTGGCATGTGTTTTCAAATGTTTGTATCTTCTATCTGAGGGAAGAGAATATAACTGGGGTTGGGGGTGGGGGCGGTGTCTCTGATTATGTGTTCCCTAGGCAGTGGGAAGTGTAGACAGGGTCTAAACTTGAAAGGAAGGAAGGCAGGTTTATATGACAGACAGGGCTGTGCTCAGAACTCCCTGTGATTTTTCGTGGTCTTGGGCAGCGCAGTTGCCATACCAAGATGTGATGCATCTAGATAGGATGCTTTCTATGGTGCATCTGCAAAAATTGGTACGCATCACTGTGGACATGCCGAATTTCCTTAGCTGTCTGAGGAAGTGGAGGCGTTGGTGTACGGTCTTGCCTGTATCGTCGACGTGGATGTAGCAGGATAGATTGCTGGTAATATTTAGTCCTAGGAACTTGAAGCACTTGATCACCTCCACCTCGGCACCATTGATTCAGACAGGGGCGTGTCCTCCACTCTGTTTCCCGAAGTTGATCACCAGCTCCTTCATCTTGCTGACATTGATGGAGAAATGCTGTCTTTGCACTGTGCCGCCAGGCTGTCTATCTGTTCTGTACAGACATGAAATAAAGCAATGTAAAATAAATGATTGCTACTCACCCAATACGGACAATCGAACAGGAGTACTCGGCCTTGATTTCTGACACTGATCGGAAACGTTTTCATACAAGCAATGGTAATTTCCGGTATGTTTGGAAGTTACGTTGCTGATGGTGTAGACTACAGGTGAGCTTGAGGCAGATATAAAGTTGTAAATGACCTTATTGTTTTGAAACAGATAGATGAATATCGGATCCTCAGTGTGCGCTTCACACTTAACAACGACAACCCCACCTTGTAGAGCCAGGTTGGATGCTGGTTCCAATTTTATTGTAGGGCTTGGAATGTTTCCTGGAAGTGCAAAGAATTCAATTGTTCAGTTGTCCTTTGATTGAGCAGAAATACCTCAAAACCTCCCTTCGACAACTTGGACATTGTGTGAAATGGCGAGATAAGTTTGAATCACTCCCACATTTTCAAGGATCATTCTGCTAAATGCATCCCATCTTCTGTAAGAGCATAAAACCACGAGAAATAGGAGGAATAGGCCATTCAGCCTCTTGCGCTTGCTCTGTCATTCATAGGATCGTGGCTGACCTGACATACCTCACAGCCACTTTTCCTGCCCTTGGCCATCACCCTTGATCCCATGACTAATCAAGGATCTATCAGTCTCAGCCTTAAATATACACAAGGACTCTGCACCATCCCTACCCCACACACAGCTCTCTGTGGCAAGGAGTTCCAAAGACTCATAACCCAACATTACAGAAGTGATTGTTTCTGAACAACAGGGATACCATAAGCAAAAGGTGTTTGTTTTCTGTGCTTAGATTTCTATGACTCTAACCAGAAGACCATTAGACAATAAAATATACAAACAGAATTAGGTCACTTGGCCCACTGAGTCTGCTCCGCCATTCGACCATGGTTGATATGTTTCTCAACTCCATTCTTCTGCCTTCTCCCTGTATCCCTTGATCAAGAAAAAATCTATCTCTGTCTCAAAGACACTCAATGACTTGCCCTTTTGTGGCAATGAGTTCCACAGATTCACCACCCACTGGCTGAAGAAATTCCTCCTCATCTTAGATCTGAAGGATCATCCCTTATTCTGAGGCTATAGTCTCAGCTCATGGTCTCTCCTACTCATGGAAATATTTTCTCCACATCCACTCCATCCAGGCCTCTTGGTATTCTATAAGTTTCAAGATGATTCCCCCCGTTCTGAACTCCATGGAGTACAGGCCCAGAGTCTTCAACCTCTCTTCATATGACAAGTTCTTCATCCTGGGATCTTTCTTGTAAACCCTCTCTGGAACTCCAGCACATCCTTCCTTAGATACTGGGCCAAAAACTGCTCGCAATATTCCAAATTAACTTGTTATAGAGTCATAGAGCCATACATCTTGGAAACAAACCCTTCGATCCAACCAGTCCGTGCCCAACATAATCCCAAACTAACCTAGTCCCACATGCCTGCTTCTGGTCCAAATCACTCCAAACCTTTCCAATTCATTTATCCTCCAAATGTCTTTTAAATGTTGTATTTGTACCCAGGAAGTTCATTCGCATGTGAACCACCCGCTGTGTTAAAAATTTGCTTCTTATGTCTATTTTAAATCTCTCTCCTCTCATCTTAAAAATGTGCCCCCTAGTTTTGAAATTCCCGATCTTAGGGAGAAGACAAATACTACCAACTCTACCTACACCTCTCATTATTTTATAAACTTTTATCAGGTCACCTCTCAACCTCCTACATTCCAGTGAAAAAAGTCCCAGCCTATCCGGCCTTTCTTTATAACTCAAATCTTCCATACCCAGCAACGTCCTTGTAAATCTCTTCTGAACCCTCTCCAGCTTGATAATGTCCTTCCTATAACTGGGTGTCCAGAACTGGACACAGTATTCCAGAAGAGGCCTCACCATTGTCCTGTAAAACTTCAACATAACGTCCCAATCCTGTACTCAAAGGACTGAGCAATGAAGGCAAGTGTGCCCAAATGCCTTTTTAAGCACCCTGTCTATATGTGATGCAAACTTCAAAGAATTATGTACCTGCACCCCTAGGTCCCTCTGTTCAACAACACTACCCAGGGCCCTACCTTTAATTGTATAAATCCTACCCTTATTTGTACCAAAATACAATACCTCGCATTTATCCAGATTGAACTCCATCTGCCATTTTTCAGCCCATTGACCCATTTGATCAAGATCCTTTGTAATCTTAGAAAATCTTCTTCACTGTCTACTATGCCACCAATTTTGGTGTCATCCACAACTTTACTAACCATACCTTCTATATTCTCATCCAAAACATTTATATAAATGACAAACAAAAGAGGACCCAGAACCGATCCCTGCGGAACACTAGTGGTCGCAGGCCTCCAGTCCGAAAAGCAACCCTCCACCCTTACTTCCTGTCTCCTGCCTTTAAGCCAATTATGTGTCCAAGTGGGAAGTTCACCCTGAATCCTGTGTGACCCAAAATTACTAATTAGTCCACCATGTGAAAGTCTTTATTAAAATATAAATAAACAACATCTATTGTTCTGCCATCATCAACCTTTTTGGTAACTTCCTCAAAAAACTCAATCAAGTTTGAGAGACACTATTTTCCTCACACAAAACCATGCTGACTATCCCTAATCAATTTTTGCCTCTCTAAAAGTCCATAAATCCCATCTTTTATAATCACCTCCAATAATTTACCCACAACCAAAGTCAGATTCGCAGATCTATTGCTCCCCGGTTTCACCTTACAACCTTTCTTAAACAAAGGTACAACATTAGCCACCCTCCAGTCATCAGGCACCTCACCCGTAGTTATAGATGATGCAAATATATCTGCAAGGGGTCCCTGTAATTTCCTCCTTTACTTCTCGGATACATTAGATCAGGCCCTGGAGATTTATCCACATTTTTATTCTCTAATACCTCCCAAACTTTCACTTTTGTAATGTAAACTGTTTTTAAAATATCAAAGTTTATTTCTCTGCATTGTCTAGACTCAATGTCTTTCTCCACCATAAAAACTGATTCAAAATATTCATTTAGTATCCCTTCTATTGAGGTTCAACATAAAGATGGCCTTCCTTTGATCTTTAAGAAGCCCAACTCTCTCTCCAGTCACCCTCTTGCTCTTAATGTATTTGTAGAATCTCTTTGGATTATCTGCCAATGCTATCTCATATCCCCTCTTTTCCTTCCTGATTTCTCTCTTCAGAATGCCCCTACAGCCTTTATATTGATTAACAGATTCAATTGAACCAAGTTGTCAATATCTAAAGTAAGATTCTCTTTTATACTGCACGAGAACCTCAATATCTCTAATTCATCCATTGTTCCTTAATCTTACCAGCCTTAACCTTCACTCTAACAGGAACAAAATGCCTCTGAATTCTCTCCATTGCACTCTTGAACTGCTCCCACTTGTCAGACATTCTTTTTACCTGTGAACAGTCTACTCCAATCAACTTTTGAAAGTTCTTGTCTCATACCATTAAAATTTGACTTATTCCAATTAAAATCTTTAACTTTTATGGAAGGCTTATCCTTTTCTACAACCATTATGATCACTAGACCCAAAGGTTTCCCCCACTTTTACTTCAGTCACCTGCCCTGCCTTATTGCCCAAAAGAAGATCTAGTTTTGCTCCTTTTCTAGTAGGAGCATCCACATATTGATCTAGAAAACTTTCTTGAGCACATTTGACAAATTCTTCACCATCCAAACCTTTAACACTATGGTAGCTCTAGTCAATGTTTGGAAAATTAAAATCCCCCATTATTACAACCTTATTATGATTACATATCTCTGAGATCTCCCTACATATTTGTTTCTCATTTTCCCTCTCACCACTGGGGGGCCCATAGTACCCATTAATGTGATCTTCCCTTTTTTATTTGTAATTTCTACCCATTTATTTTCACTGGATGATTTTTCAAAAATATCTTCCCTAGTTACAGCAGCAATGTATTCCTTAATGAAAAATGCCAAACCCCCTCCTTACCTATCCTTCCGATAGCATTTAAAACCAGGAACATTGAGCTGCCAGTCCTGTCCGTCTCTCAACCAAGTTTCTGTAATAGCTATGACGTCTCATTACCATGTGCTTAAATTTAGAATCCCTACAGTGTAGAAACAGGCCCTTTGGCCCAAGTCCACACTGACCCTCAGAGCATCCCACCCAAACATCCCCGAACAGTATGGGCAATTTAGCATGGCCAATCCACCTAACCTGCATATCTTTGGACTGTGGGAGGAAACCGGAGCACATGGAGGAAACCCACACAGACACAGGGAGAACATACAAACTCCACACAGACAGTCACCCAAGGATGGAATTGAACCTGGGACCCTGGCACTGTGAGGCAGCAGTGCTAACCACTGAGCCACTGTGCCACCTCCTGAGTCCATCAGCCTTACCTGTAAGACCCCTTGCATTGAAATAAATGCAATTTAATTCTTCAGACTTATTACATACTCTGACTCTCTCTTGTCTTTCTTTTCTAATTGACGTGCTCTCCTCACATTCAGAACCTACCTCATCAATCCTTCCATTTACACTGCTACTTAGAATTCCTCGACCCGCCATCTCTATCAGTATGAAGTCTCCCTTCATGGAATGAGCAAATCTCTCTGCTAAGATATTGGTCCCTTTCCAGTTTAGGTTCGGCCCATCCTTTTTGAATAGGTCTTTTCTATTCCAAAAGACAATCCAATTGTCCAAAAATCTGAATTCCCTGAGCAATACACCAACTCTTCAGCCACTGATTTATCTCCTTCAATCTTTTGCTCCTTCCCTCGTTTGAGCTTGGCATTGGGAGTAAACCAGAAATTACTATTTTTAAGGTTTTATTTTTCAAGCTTCGACCTAACCTTTTAAATTCACTTCGTACTGCTTTAATCTTTTCCCTAAAAATGTAAATCTACTAATGCTTACAATAATTTCTGACTTCCCAATCTCACCTTTAACAATATACTTGGAACATTTAGAAACGTTCTTAATATTTGCGCCAGGAAGACAAAAAACCATCCGATATTTATGCCTCGTGCTGCCATGAGGAGCTCGAACAGTTCATCCACTTCACTAACACCTTCCACCCCAACCTTAAGTTTACCTGGACCATCTCTAACACCTCTCTCCCCTTCCTGGACCTCTCTGTCTCCATATCGGGCAACCACCTAGAAACTGATATTCATTTCAAGCCCACCGACTCCCACAGCTACCTAGAATACTCCTCCTCCCACCCACCTTCCTGCAAAAATGCTATCCCCTATTCCCAATTCCTTCGCCTCCGCCGCATCTGCTCCCAGGATGAGGCATTCCACTCCCGTACATCTCAGTTGTCCTCGTTTTTCAAGGACCATAACTTCCCCTCCTCGGTGGTCGAGAACGCCCTCAACCGTGTCTCCCACATCTCCCGCACCTCATCCCTCACACCCCGTCCACGCAATAAAAACCAAAAAAGAATCCCCCTCGTCCTCACGTACCACACCACCAACCTCCGGATCCAACGCATCATCCTCCGACACTTCCGCCATCTGCAATCCGACCCCACCACCAAAGACATCTTTCCCTCCCCACCTTTATCTGCTTTCCGGAGGGACAACTCTCTCCGTGACTCCCTTGTCCGCTCCACACTCCCCTCCAGCTCCACCACACCTGGCACTTTTCCCTGCAACCGCAGGAAGTGCTACACCTGCCCCCATACCTCCTCCCTCACCCCCATCCCAGGCCCCAAGAAGACTTTCCACATCAAGCAGATGTTCACCTGCACATCTGCCAATGTGGTATACTGCATCCGCTGTACCCGGTGTGGCTTCCTCTACATCGGGGAAACCAAGTGGAGGCTCGGGGACCGCTTTGCAGAACACCTACGCTCGGTTCGCAATAAACAACTGCACCTCCCGGTCGCGAACCATTTCAACTCCCCCTCCCATTCCTCAGACGACATGTCCATCCTGGGCCTCCTGCAGTGCCACAACGATGCCACCCGAAGGTTGCAGGAACAGCAACTCATATTCCGCTTGGGAACCCTGCAGCCCAATGGTATCAATGTGGATTTCACAAGTTTCAAAATCTCCCCTCCCGCTACCGCATCCCAAAACCAGTCCAGCTCGTCCCTGCCTCCCTAACCTGTTCTTACTCCCACCTATCCCCTCCTCCCACCTCAAGCCGCACCTCCATCTCCTACCGACCAACCTCATCCCGCCCCCTTGACCTGTCCGTCCTCCCTGGACTGACCTATCCCCTCCTCCCACCTCAAGCCGCACCTCCATCTCCTACCGACCAACCTCATCCCGCCCCCTTGATCTGTCCGTCCTCCCTGGACTGACCTATCCCCTTCCTAACTCCCCACCTACACTCACCTTTACTGGCTCCATCCCCGCCTCTTCGACCTGTTTGTTTCCTCTCCACCTATCCTCTCCTCAATACTCTTCTATCCGCCTCCCACTCTCTCCCTATTTATTTCAGAACCCCCTTCCCCTCCCCCTTTTCTGATGAAGGGTCTAGGCCCGAAACGTCAGCCTCTCTGCTCCTATGATGCTGCTTGGCCTGCCGTGTTCATCCAGTCCTGCACCTCGTTGTCTCGGATTCTCCAGGATCTGCAGTTCCTACTATCTCTATATTTATGCTCACTGCCCACAGAATCGCCTGTCTATGTTCCTGACAGGACAGTCCCCAATAACAATAATTCTATTAAATCTTGTCAAATGCTGTCTAAGAATTGTTCCAAGTGTCCAATAAGTGACTGGCCCTTTCATTTTCCTCAGAGAGATTTTCTCCCTCAACAGTTTCAAAAGCTGAATATCTACTTGTTAGAGGAATAGCCACTGGAGAATTTTGAACTACCTTCTTACTTTTGCTTACAGTCACCCATCTATCTGAAACTACCTTTCATTACCTATAGAAAATACTGTTAAAATGGAAAAAAAACTAAAAAATCAAACATAAAAACAAATTAAATAAAATCAACCGATTAGTTGATTAACTAAATAAAAACGATTCCTCAAGAGATTCCTTGAAGAAAAAAAACTTTTCCGAAGCTGACCACGTGTAGGACATTCCAGAATGAAAACACAACTCCCCATTTTAAAAAATCTGTTGTTTTTCAAAAAAAATCTTTGCAGTGTTAATAAAACCCTCTAAAACACAAACAGATTTTTTAAATTTCTGAATTAAGAAAAAAAGAACAAATTATGATTTTTTTCCTTATTTTGTTTTTTTTTGAATGATAATAAAGCAACATGGAAAAAATCTTATATTAGTAAACTATAATAACTACAATAACTGTAAAAAAAAACTATAATAAATCTTCAACTAAGCCTGCAATCCCAGGAGCAGTTGCAAAATCCATACTGCTCTTGATTCAGGTGTTTTGCAAGGACTTTGACACAATATTACTTATCAACCCAAAGTAGCCCTTTGTATTGGAAAAGCATGAAATTGTGACTTGCCTGTCCCCTTTGTCACTGCAGACTGCAGCCTTGCCTTGCTTTGTTCTATTCTCTGTTACTGCTGTTGCTTCAAATTGCTACAGAGGAAAATGTGCCTGCACTTGGGCAAATTTATTAATTCTACTCCACGTGTTCAATACTTGCCCTAAATTCACTAAACAGATCTCCTTGTAACTCTCCTTGTAAGCAAGGTATCGTTGAGCCATTGCAAATCAAATGAGCATGTATTTCAAAATATACTCTAAAGGGAAATAAGATGTGTGTAATCTGTCCTATTTGGTGTTTGTCTCCTACACAAGAATGCACCTAATTTCACAGACCCAAACTGTTCTTAAATCTTGACATCTTACTTGCTTCCAGCCTGTGAATTTTGGGCATAGATAGAGTCAGAGTCATACAGGACAGAAACAGACCATTCAGCCCGACCACCGCATCCATGCCGACCAAGTTTTTCAAACTAAACCAGTCCCATTTGCCTGCATTTGGCTCAAATCCCTCAAACCCTTTCCTATTCATGTACCTGTCCAAATGTCTTTTAAATATTGTAACTATACCTGCATCTACCACTTCGTCTGGCAGTTCATTCCATATATACACCACCCTTTGTGTGAAAACGGTACCGCTCAAGTCCCTTTTAAATATTTCCCCTCTCACTGTAAAATTATGCCCTCTAGTTTTAGAGTCCCCTACCCGAGGGGAAAGATCTGGGCTATTCACCTTAACTGTACCCCAAATGATTTTATAAACCTCTGTAAGGCCACCCCACAATCTCTTACGCTTCAGTGAAAAAAACTCCTAGCACATTCAACCTCTCCGTATAACACAAAACCTCCAATCCTAGCAGCATCCTGGTAAATCTTTGTTGCACCCTCTCCAATTTAATAACATCTTTCCTACAGCATGGTGACCAGAACTGTACGCAACATTCCAAAAGTGGGCCTCACCAATATCCTGTACAGTCACAAAGTGACATCCCATCTCCTACACTCAGTGTTCTGACAGATGAAAGCAAGCATACCGAACACCCTCTTCACCATCCTGTCTACCTGTGACATACCTTACAACAAAGTAACTACCTGAATCCTAAGCACTCTCTGTTCAACAACACTCCCTACTATTATCTGTGAAAGTCCTGCCCTTTTTTTGGTATTTTCCACATTAAATATTGCACAGCAAAGCTCACTAACAATAAACTCACCCATTACAGTTACTTCCAACCAGTCACTCTGGGCAGTGTAGACTCTTTTACCATTGACATCAATGAGGCAGCGACATGAGTAATTCCCCGTGTCACTATAAGTCACATTCGCTATCGTGACGGTCGCGTTGCTCTTCGCTTCCGCAATTTGCAGATACTCATTTTGTTTGTGCCCACGCTTGAAGATGAAACACTGACTGCTGGCAGTGGTGCGGCAACTCATGGTGAAATTTTCGCCTTCAAAGGGCTCAGCTGGAGCCAGTTGGAGGACACTCAAAGGTGCCTTGATCCCAGCTGGGAAACAGAGAAAAAGGAAATTAGTCACACCACTTTAAATAACTGTGATAATGTCAACTCTGAAGCTTTAATAACTCTTTGTAGGTTAAACAAATCAACAAAAAATAACCCGTTGCACACGGGATAAAGTAGCAGTAACTCTGCCTGGAATAAATTGTTTCCCAAGATAAAATAGGCAAGGAGAAATTGTTATAAATTAATTAGAAGCAACATGCCAATTAATCATGCCTGGGAAGAATCAACATAAACAAACTATGTTGATTTGATTTGATTTATTGTTGCATGTACCAAGTACAGCGAAAATTATTGCTTTGTGTGGTATTCAAGCAGATCATACCTTACATATACACATCAGGGTAATAGAACAGAATGCAGAATATAATGTTACAGCTCGAGAGAACCTGCTGAGAAAGAGCAACTCTAATCTATAAGAGGTCTGTTCAAAGTCTGATAACAGCAGGGGATAAACTGTTCTTGAATCTGTTGGTCCGTATTTTCAAACTTTTGTATCTTCAGCCTGATGGAAGAGAGTGGAAGGGAGTATAACCAGGGTAGGAAGACTCTTTGATTATATTGGTTGCTTACCCGAGGCAGCAGAAAGTATAGATGGAGTCAACGGAAGGAAGGCTAGTTTTCATGATGGACAAGTCTGTGGTCACAGCTCTCCATAATTTCTCACTGTCTTGGGGAAAGCAGTTGCCATACCAAGCTGTGATTCATCTGGATAGGATGCTTTCTATGGTGCATCTATAAAAATTGGTACGCATCACTGTGGACATGCCGAATTTTCTTGGCCTTCTGAGGAAGCAAAGGCATTCATGTACAGTCTTGACTCTATTGTTGACATGGATGGAGCGGGATAGATTGTTGCTAATAATTAGTCCTGGGAACATCAAGCTTTTGACCACTTCCACCTCAGCACCATTAATTCAGACGGGAGTGTGTCCTCCACTCTGTTTCCTGAGTTGATAACCAGCTCCTTCATTTTGCTGACATTGAGGGAGAGACTGTTATCTTTGCACTGTGCCGCTGGGCTGTCTATCTCTTGCGTACGTATGTGATATAAAGCAGTGTAGAATAAATAATTGCTACTCACCCAAAATGGACAATCTAACAGGCATACTCGGCCTCGACTTCTGACGTCGATCGGAAACATTTTCATACAGACAACGATAATTCCCGGTATTTTGGGAGGTTACATTGACGATGGTGTAGACTACAGGTGAGATCGAGACAGGTACAACTTTGTAAATGACCTTATCATTTTGAAACAGATAGACGGTTTTTGGATCCTCAGAGTGCGTTTCACACTTGACAATGACAACCCCACCTTGTAGGGCTAGGCTGGATGTGGGTTCCAATGTTATTTTTGGGCTTGGAAAGTTTCCTGTAAGTGTAAATAATTCAGTCATTCAGGAGTCCTTTAAATTGTGAGCAGAAATGCCTCAAAACTTCCCTTTGATGACACGGATGATTTGTTTCTGACCAATGGGGATGCAATAGGCTGAAGGGGCTTTTGTTCTGTGCTGTAGATCTCTATGACTGTCCAGCCAGAAGACCATTAGACCATAAGAGATAGGAGCAGAATTACACCTTTCAGCCCATCAACCTTGTTCTATCATTCAGTATTGGCTGATACGTTTCTTCTGCCTTCTCCCTGTAACCCTTGATGCCCTCACCAATCAAGAACCGATCTATTTCTGTCTTAAAGACACTACTGACTTGGCCTGTACAGCCCTCAACAGCAATAAATTCCCCAGATTCACCACACTCCGGTTGAAGAAATCCCTCCTCATCTCAGTTCTATAGGGTCGCGACTTCACTCTGAGCCTGTGCCTTTGGGTGCTAGTGACTCCTACTAGTGGAAATATCTTCTCCTCATCCACCTCTCAATAGTTTCAACTAGATTCCCCCCCAGTCCTTCTAAACTCCATCAATTATAGACCCAGAGTCCACAATCGCTCCTCATATGACAAGTCCTTCATTTCTGGGATGTTTCTTGTAAAGCCCCTCTGGACCCCCTCCAACACATCCTTCCTTAGGTATGGGGCCCAAAACTGCTCACGATATTCCAAATTAACTTGTTGATTCAGGTGTCTTGCAAGAACCCAGACATAATATTACTGATCAACCCAAAGTTGTCTTTTGTATGGAAAACGCATGTCATAGTGACTTGACTGCTCCCTTTGTCACTGCTGACTGCAGCCTTGCCTTGCTTTATTTTGTTCTCTGTTACTGCCATTGCTATCAAATTGCTATAGAGTAAAATGTGCTCGCACTTGGGCAAATTTTTTAATTCCTCTCCACGTGCTCCCTACTTGCCCTAAATTCATTGAACAGATCTCCATGTAAGCTCTCTGAGCAAGGCATCATTGAAATATTACACATTGAGGTTGCATGTATTTCCAAATATACTCTATAGGGAAATAGGATGTGCATAAACTATCCTGCTTGGTCTATATTTTCCACACAATAATGCACCTAATTCCACTGTTCTCAAATCTTCATGTCTTACTTGCTTCCATCCTGTGAATTTTGGTCATTGATGCAGTCATAGTCATACAGGATGGAAACAAACCCTTTGGTCCAACTTGTCCATGCTGACTAAGTTTCTTAAAATAAACCAGTCCCATTTGCCTCCATTTGGCCCATTTCCCTCAAGCCCTTTCCTATTCATGTCGCTATTCAAATGTCTTTGAAATATTGTAATTGTACCTGCATCTACCACTTTCCCTGGCAGCTTATTCCGTACACACACTACCCTTTGTGTGAAAAAGGTGCCATCAGTCCTTTTTAAATCTTTCCCCTCTCACCTCAAATCTATACTGTCTAGTTCTGGACCCCCCTGCTGTGGGGAAAAGGCCTTTGCTATTCACCCTATCTATTCCCCTCATGATTTTATAAACCTCTACAATGTCACCTCTCAACCTCCTATGCTCCAGTGAAAAAGTCCCAGCCTCTCCATCCAATTCATACCTTCCAGTCCCGGGAACATCCTTGTAAATCTTTTCTGCACCCTCTCCAGTTTAATAACATCCTTCCTATAGTAGGGCAATCGGAACTGTACACAGTACTCCAAAAATGGCCTCACTAATGTTCTGTACAATTACAACACGATCTCCCAACTCCTGTATTCAATGGTCTGAGCAATGAAGTCAAGCATGTCAAATGCCTTTTACCACTCTGTTTATCTGTGACGCAACTTTCACAGACTGTAGTAACTCAATGCTCATCATTAACTTCTCTAGACATCCAATGTGCAAAATGTTATGAAAATTGCTGTCAATACTTCAATAGTTCTTTGCAACATAAAAAATCTATCAGAATCAATGTTTTTCCCTTCTATTATTCATAAGTGGTTTCAGTGGCTAAGAGTGTGCTCTTCCCAATTTAATCCCTAAATACCCCAGTGAAGGTGGCAGTGAGCTAGGAATTCCAGGATTTTGACCCAGTAACACTGAAGGAAAAGATTTACAAGGATGTTCCCAGGACTGGAAGGTATGAGTTGGATGGAGAGGCTGGGACTTTTTCACTGGAGCATAGGAGGTTGAGAGGTGACATTGTAGAGGATTATAAAATCATGAGGGGAATAGATAGGGTGAATAGCAAAGGCCTTTTCCCCACAGCAGGGGAGTCCAGAACTAGATATATTTGGGACAGTGCGTGACTCCGAGGGGAACTTGCAGGGGGTGATGTTCCCGTGTACCTGCTGCCCTTGTCCTTCTCGATGGTCATGTGTTTGGAAGGTGCTACCTGAGGGTCTTTGGTGGTTTTCTGCAGTAACATACTGTTACTGTGCATGGGTGGTGGAGGGAGTGAATGTTTGTGGATGCAGTACCAATCAAGCAGTCTGTTTGACCCTGGATGGTGTCAAGCTTCTTGAGTGTTGTTGGAGCTGCACTCATCCAGACAAGTGGGGAGCATTCCATCACACTCCTGACTTGTGCCCTGTAGATGGTCTACAGGCTTTTGAGAGTCAGGAGTCGAGTTACTCGATGCGGGATTCCCAGCCTCTGACTTGTTCTTGCGGCCTTGTGTTTATATGGCTGGTATAGTTGAATTTCTGGTCAATGTTGTTGGTAGTGGGCTATTTAGTGATGGTAACACATTAACTCTTTTTCTCTCTTTACAGATGCTGCCAGACAATAGACATAGGAGCAGAAATTAGGCTATTCAGCCCATCGAGTCAGCTCTGCCATTCAATCATGGCTGATACGTTTCTCAATTCCATTCTCCCGCTTTCTCCCCTTAACCCTTGATCCCCTTGACAATCAAGAACTTATCTGTCTCTGTCTTAAATATACTCGATGACCTTGCCTCCACAGCATTCTGTGGCAGTGAATTTCATAGATTCACCACTCACTGGCTGAAGAAGTTTCTCCTCATCTCTAATTTAAAAGATCTTTCCTTTACTCTAAGGCTGTGCCCTTGGGTCCTAGTCTCTTTCCTAAATGGAAACATCTTCCCAACATCCACTCTGTCCAGGCCATTCTGTATTCTGTAAGTTTCAATTAGATCCCCCCTCATCCTTCTAAACTCCATCGAGTATAGACCCAGAGTCCCCAGATGTTCCTCATATGTTAAGCTTTCCATTCCTGGGACCATTCTCGTGAATCTCCTCTGAACCTGCTCCAGGGCCAGTACATCTTTCCTGAGATATGGGGCCCAAAACTGCACACAATACTCCAAATGTGGCCTGACCAGAGCCGTATAAAGTCTCAGAAGTGCATCCCTGCTTTTATATTCAAATCCTCTCAAAAATGCCAAAGTTGCATTTGCCTTCCTAACTACGGACTCAACCTGCAAGTTTACCTTAAGAGAATCCTGGACTAGAACTCCCAAGTCTCTTTGCACTTCAGACTTCTGAATTTTCTCCCCATTTAGAAAATAGTCCATGCTTCTATTCTTTTTACCAAAGTGCATGACCTCACACTTTCCCACGTTGTACTCCATCTGCCACTTATTTGCCCACTCTCCTAACCTGTCCAAATCCTCGGCAGCCTCTCCACCTCCTCAATACTACTGTGCCTCTATCTATCTTTGTATTGTCCGCAAGTTTAGCCAGAATGCCCTCAGTTCCTTCATCTAGATCATTAATATATAAAGTAAAAGCTGTGGTCCTAACACTGACCCTTGCGGAACACCACTTGTCACCAGCTGCCATCCTGAGAAAGACCCTTTTAACACCACTCTCTGCTTTTTTCCAGACAGCCAATCTTCTATCCATGCTAGCACCATGCCTCTAACACCATGGGCCCTTATCTAAGTCAGCAGCCTCCTGTGCGGCACCTTGTCAAAGGCATTCTTGAAGTCCAGGTAGATAACATCCATTGGTTCTCCATGGTCTACCCTGCTCATTACTTCCTCAAAGATCTCTAACAGATTTGTCAGGTATGACCTCCCCTCGATGAAACCATGCTGACTTTGCCTTATTTACCATGCATTTCCAAGTAATCAGAAATCTCATCCTTTACAATGGACTCTAAAATCTTACCCATGACCGAGGTTAGGCTAATTGGCCTGTAATTTTCAATCTTTTGCTTTACTCCCTTTTTAAATAGGGTTGTCATGTTAGCGATTTTCCAGTCCTTTAAACAGGGTTGTCACGTTAGCCATTTTCCAGTCCTGCTGAGTTTCTCTAGCACTTTCTGTGTTTATAACCTGTAACATCAACTCTGTTTCTCTGTCTCTCCATAGATGCTGCTAGACCTGCTGACTTTCTCCAGCACTTTCTGTGTTTATAACCTGTAACGTTAACTCTGTTTCTCTGTCTCTCCACAGAGGTGGAGATTGTGAGGTAGTGCATTTTGAGGGTACAAGTGGAAGGTGTTGCATTTTGGGGGGTCAAATGCGGGTGGAAAGTATCCAGTAAATAGCAGAACCTTTAGGAACATTGATATACAGAGGGATCTCTGGGTGAAAGTGGCAACACAAATGGTGAAGAAGGCACACAGCATGCTTGCCTTCATCAGTTGGAGCATTGAGTATAAAAGTTGGCCAGTCATGCTGCAACTATATAAAACTTTAAGTGAGGCACATTTAGAGTGTTATGTGCAGTTTGGGTTGCTACACTATAGGAAGGATGAGGAGACGTTGCAGAGGGTTCAAAAGAGACTTAGCTGGATTGCAGTGTATTTGTTATAAGAAGAGGTTGGACAAACTTGGATTGATTTCAATTTTGATTTTCACTAGAGCATTGGAGGCTGAGGGGCGACGTGGTTGGAGTATATAAAATTATGAGAGATATGGATAAGGTGGATAGTTTGAGTCTACTTCCAAGGGTGGAAATGTCAAGTACTAGAGGCCATAGGTTTAAGGTGAGAGGGGGAAAGTTTAAAGGAGATACACAAATAAGTCTTTTTTACACAAAGGGTGGTGAATGCTTGCAACATGTTGCCAGGAGAGGTGGTAGAAGCAGGTATAATAGCAAAATTTAAGAGGCATTTAGACTGACATGTGAACAGGCAGGGAATAGAGGGATACAGACCGTGTGCAGGTAGATGTGATTAGCTTAGAATGGCATTATGGTCAGCACAGACATGGTGGGACAAAGGCTGGACTGTTCCATGTTCTATAACCAGCAGCTGAACAGTAGGGAATTGGTCCTAAGAGAGAGGCAACGGCCTCGATGTTGCCCTTGGCCAGTCGATAAAACCCGTCGACCGAAACCATTTAAATTATTTTTAGTCAAAGATGCATTCAGTGCAGTAACAGAGACAGAGACTTACCATAATGTCTTCCACGTCCTGGAGAAACAGCTAGAGAAATTCACAGGGAGACAAAAAATGGGAGAACACATTACTGTTAACGTACAAAACATTGGTCAGTCTTTGAAAATCACATACTCATTTATGGGCAAGGGGCAGGAGGGAAACTGCAAAACATTAGGGGATCATAAATGATGGTGTCAGATCAGTGCGCGACTCATGTGGCTCTATCCCAAGGGAGGGGTCTCATTCGTTGTAGGATTGATTAGGTAAGTAAGTGGGCAAAAATTTGGCGGATGCATCCCCTATATGGGAAAATGTAAAGATGCGAAGGGAGGACAAAAGAGCACACTATTAATTAAATGGAGAGAAACTGTAAGAAGATGAAACGCAAAGGGACTTGGGAGGGGTGACTTATGCACGAAACACAGAAAGCTAGCACACAGAGGCAATAGTTAATCAGGAAGGGCTAATGGAATATTGGCCCTTCTTTCAAGGGGGTTGGAGTACAAGAGTAGGCAAGTCTTACTGCAACTGTACAAGGTGCTGGGGAGCCCACATCTGGAGCATTGTGAGCAGTTTTGCTCCCATTATTTAAGTAAAGGTATCATTTCATCAGAGGCAGTTCAGAGAAGGTTCACGACGCTGATCCCCAGGATGGAGGGATTGTCTTATGAGTAAAGGCTAAACAGGGTTGGACTCTGTTCACTGGGATTTAGAAGAATGAGAGGTGATCTCACTGAAACATATAGGGGCTTGATAGGGTCAGTGCTGAGAGGATGCTTCCCCCTCATGGGAGAGTCTAGGACCAGAAGGCACGCAAGGGGAGGTGACAGCCTACTGGTATTATCATCAGACTATTAATCCAGAAACCCTGGTAACGTTCTAGGGAGCTGGCTTTGAATCCTGCCAATGGCAGATGGTGGAGTTTGAATTCAATCAATATCAGCAATTAAGAGTTTAATGATGACCATGAATCGATTGTCAGGTAAAAACCATCACTAATGCCCTTCAGGGAAGGAAACTGCCATCCTAACCTGGTCTGGCCTACATGTGACTCCACACCTACAACAATGAGATTGACACTTAACTATCCTCTGGGCAATTAGAGATTGGGTCATAAAATGTTGCCCTGGCCAATGATGCCCTGTGAATGAATGAAAAAAAAACCTCAGAATAAAGGGATGCCAACTGAAGACTAAGACAAGGAGGAACTTTTTTCTCTCAGAGGGTTGAGAGTCTTTAGAACACCTTGCCACAGAGAGCTGTGTGGGGTCAGATTCCTTGTGGATATTGAAGGCTGAGACAGATTGATTCTTGATCAGTCAGGGAATCAAGGGAAAGGGCTGGAAAGTGGATGTGAGGAATGTAGAATCAACCACTGTCCTGTTGAATGGCAGAGCAGGCTCGAGGGGCTGAAGGGCCTACTCTTGTTCCTATTCCTTACAGCACAGACAGGTAGATTGTTAAACAACTCAGATGTGCCTTCCATGATGGTAGTTAATGGGGCAACTGAACAAATTAAGATTGCACTCTCCGAATGTTATACGTTGCTGAACAAAAAATAATGTGCAAAACATCCTCCACTGTTGTTCACCATTTATATAAATGGTTTGGATGAGAATATAGGAGGCATGGTTAAGTTATTTTGTAGATGACACTAAAATTGGTGATGTAGTGGACAGTGAAGAAGGTTCTCTAAGGGTCCAACAGGGTGTTGATTAGACGGGCCACTAGGCTGAAGAGTGGCAAATAGAGTTTAATTTAGATACATGCAAAGTGTTGCGTTATGGTAAGGCAAACTGGGACTGGAGTTACCAGCTAATGGTAGGGCCCTGGAGAGTACAGTTGAGCAGAGAGACCTAGGGGCACAGGTGCCTAGTTCCTTGGAAGTGGAGTCACAGGTAGACAGAGTGGTGAAGAAGGCGTTTGGCATGTTTGCCTTTATCAGTCAGGTAATTGAGTACAGGTGCTGGGCTGTCACGTTGCGGCTGTAAAAGACATTAATAAGGCCGTGTTTAGAATACTCCATATAATTCTTGTCACCCCGCTACAGAATGAATGTTAAACTAAAAGAGTACAGAAAAAATTGACAAGGCTATTGCCTTGAGTGTTAGGTCTGAGTTATAAGGGGAGGCTGAATTGGCTGGGATATTCTTCCTTGGAAGGGAGGAGGCTGAGAAGTGACCTTATAGAGGCGTATAAAATCATGAGGGATATAAATAAGGTGAATAGCCAAGGTCTTTTCTCCAGGATAGGTGAGTCCAAAATTAAAGGGACCCAAGGGGCAACCTTTTCGTACAGAGGGTGATGCATGTATGGAAGGAACTGCCAGAGGAAGTGGTGGAGGCAGATACAATTAAAACATTTAACAGGCATCTGGACAGGTACGTGAATAGGTGGGTTTAGAGGAATATGGGCCAATCGCAGGCAAATGAGTCTAATTTAGTTTAGGAAACCTGGTCGACATGGACGAGTTGGTTTGAAGGTTCTGTTTCATGCTGTATGTCTCTATGACATATATCTTGGCTGTGGTGATGTGGTTGCCTCCTAACTGGGCAATTAGGGATGGGTAATAATAGCTAGCCTTCGCCTGTGTGACACCCTGAATGAATTAAAAAAAAACACTTTAGGTTTTGCCTACTTGCTTAGATTCCAACTGGATCCCATCACACATAATTTGGCCTTGATGTTAAAATTACTGTGCATTACTGGGTTTGAGGAATGTAGGAATATCCTTTACAGACCTCTGTTTCTGACACAATGAATGAAATGGCTAATACATTTGGAATATGGTGGGCAGTTTTGGGCCCCTTCAAAGGAAGGATGTGTAGGACTCGGAGAGGGTCCAGAGGGGGTCTCCAAGAACGATCCTGCGAATGAAGGGCTTGTCGGAGGACTCTGGGTTTGTACTCAACGGAGTTTCGAAGGATGGGGGTGGAATCAGATTGAAACTTAGAGAATACTGAGAGGATAGAGTGGACATGGAGAAAATGTTTCCATGGGTAGGAGAGACTAGGACCCAAGGGCACTGCCTCAGAGTGAAGGGATGACATTTAAGAACTGAGATAAGGAGGAAGTTCTTCAGTCAGAGAGTGGTGACTCTGTGGAACTCATTGCTGCAGAGGGTTGTGGAGGTCAAGCCATTAAGTATCTTTAAGACAGAGATAAATAGGTTCCTGATTAGTAAGGGGATCAAGGGTTACAGGGCGAAGGCAGGAGAATCAGAAGCAATTGTGGTAAGACTGTGGAGGAGAAATGGTCATAAAATGTTTATTTTAGTCGACTGGACATGTGACGTCTCAAGCCACTGGGAAATCCATAACGTGAAGTTTCTGTTTGACTAATGAGAATGCATGCTCTGCCTGTTTTGGGGCTGAAGATGTTACTTACCAAAATCCAAAGAAACTGGCGTTCTATGCTGGAGTGGAGACTTTGAGAATGACGAGTTTGGTCATTGCAACTGCTGACATTTAATTAAATAAACTATGTAGGGGCAGGATGGTGGCTCTTGTTAGCACTGTGCCTCTCAATGCCAGGGAACTGGGTTCGATTTCAGCCTTGGGTGACTGTCTGTCTGTGTGGCATTTGCACATTCTCACCATGCTTGTGTGGGCTTCCTCTGTATGCTCCAGTTTCCTCCCACAGTCCAAAGATGTACAGGCTAAATGGGTTAACCATGGGAAATGCAGGGTTACAGGGATAGGATAGGGGTGTTGAGTCTGGGTAGAATGCTCTTTAGAGGGTTGGTGTGAACTCGATGGACTGAATGTCCTAATTTTACACTGTAAGGATTCTATGATTCTATGAAACTTATCAGCTATGATCGAATGATGGAACAGACTTGATGAGCTGAATGGCCTAATTCCACTTCTTTAACTTATGATCTGATGGTCAATATTTACTCTATTGATAGAGAGGAGAGAAAATATTTAGTGTATAAATGTTGAGGCCTACAAATCCAATGGGGTGTTGATATTCCTTAAGGGCTTTTGTTGACTAACCTGACCACTGAAATTATGCAAATGTTGTGGCTGCCAATTCATTTTCAATTGCCTGATACTCAATTAGTTCCTCTCCTAACCGCAAGCAAGGAGTAAAGTAGTATTGGACTCAATAATATTTTGGGGCTGGGGGGAGCTGAATCACCAAATACCAATGAAGATGGGTATCCTCAGGGGACTGAAAGTGGGCATTCACAGACTGAAATGCAGGTGACTGATTTCTTGTTACAATGTGTGTTTTTGCTCAAAAGAAACTATTTTAGAAAAGGTGGGACTTGAACCCAGGCCTCTTGGCTCAAAGGAAGGGCATACTTTTAATATTCTAGGAGGGATGTGATAGCACTAGGGGAGGTGCTGAGGGAGATCTACCAGGATGTTGCCTTGGGGGCTGGAGAGTTTCACGGATGGAGAGAGATTGGACAGACAGGGGATATCTGCCTCAGAGCAGAGGAGATTGAGAGGTGGGGTAGGGGGACATGATTGAGATGGATTGAATGATGAGGGGCGTAGATAGGGTAGACAGTAAGAAACCTTTTCCCCTTGAGAGAGGGATCAATGACCAAGGGGGGGAAGCATAGATTAAAGGTAAGGGGCAGGAGGTTTAGAGGGTGATGGGGAATCTGGAACTCCTTGCCTGTCAGAGTAGGAGAGCAGAAACCCTCACTACATTGAAGAAGAATTTAAATGTGCACTTGTGATGCCAAGGATATGAGCCTGGTGCTGTGAAAATGGGGATTAGAGGATCGTGGCGTAGTTGTTTTTGACAAACCACAGACCAAAGGGCGTTTATCTTCTACGCTGTAGACCTCTATAACTCCACGAAGCAGTGGCCAGAATATTAGCTGTTATGACTTCCTCTCAATATCGATTATCGAAGGATATTACTGATCAGATACATGAGCTGGGGGCCTCGAAGTCTGAATACTTTGAATAACATACAGCCTCAAGGAGAGAATGCGAATGAAAAGAAAGGAAAAACAAAATCTGGATTCAGTTTACAACTTGGTAGACGAACATAAATATTTTTCAAACCAAAAGGCAGCAATGTTTTGAAAGCTTACCAATTAAAAGCAGACAAATCTCTCGGAACATTTTATCTGCTAGATGCGACATGACGTTGAGGAACAGCTTACGGCTGGTTCAGAGTGACTGTACAGCTTGAGGGCTGAGTAAAGAGTGAAGTTCAAGAGTTCCGCTAACTTGACAGGAAGTCTTCAGCTGCAAAGTCAGACAATGGGGAAGAGATAACAAGCTGTAGAGCTGGATGAACGCACCAGGCCAAGCAGCATCAGGGGAGCAGTAAAGCTGACGTTTCGGGTCTAGACCCTTCTTCAGAAATGGGGAAGAGATGCTTGTTTGGCTCGTACACACTGCTCCCAGGACGTCAGCCCGTGACTCAAAGAAACGAGGAAGAAGGAACTGCAACCAATGTTAGCAGAAATCAAATGCTGCCTCAAAAGCCCCAAGGACAGGGACCATAATAAACAAGGCAGAAACAAAGCAAGCGAGGCCCATTTCATAGAGTCATAGAGAGTCACAGAGGGTCATAGAGTTGTATAGAATTATAGAAAGGCATAGAGAGTCACAAAGGGGGTAATAGAGAGAAATCGAGTTATAAAGAGTCATGCAGCGCAGAAACTTTGACCCACCGTGTCTTAAATTTGTATAAAACATGGAATTCTATCGTTCCTCAGTTGCGATTATTTTGTTATTTTCTCAAATTGGGTGCCTGATCTCCAGCGGGATGGGCGTTGAGAGCCATTTACTTCCTTTTGTTTCTCTCTGTCTCCTCACAGCTGAGCTCTCGGATGGCTGAGTTGTATTTCATTCTGCTGCCCATTAAGCTCAGAGAGCAGTTAGTGTGCACTCCTCATTGCTCTGACTCCAGATCCGTGTGAGCGTTCAAATGCGGGGAGCTAAGGCACTCCGTGGTGGGGTACTTACTCTCCCAGTACAGCCCGGAAGGGGAATCTGCAGGATTTGAACACAGTGCAAGCAGAGGAACGTTTGCTATCTATCCACATCCTGAAGCTGTGAGGCTCGGAGCAGACTGAGCAACGGGGCTGCTCCAGCAAAGCCCCTGCCCTCGCCCTTGAGATTGTAAAACGTCACAGCATCCAGAGGTGACACTGAGACAGTCTGTATTAATCGTTAAGATGCACAGTATTTATGATACACACTGCCACTCTGTGTGTGTATGTGACTGTTATTGCGTGTGTGTGTGTCTGTGTGAGAGTCTGTGTCTGTGCATTACTGCCTCTGTGTGTATGTATCTGTGATTGTACGTCTGAGTGTGTGTGCATGTGTGAGTATGACTGTATGCATGCGTTTCTGTGTGAGTGTAACTGTGTGTGATTGTGCACCTGGGTATGAGTGTGTCTGTATGTGAGTGTGTCTATCCGTATGTGTGTGTGCATATGTATGAATGTGTGTGAGTATGACCGTGTCTGCGTACGTGCATGCACGTCTGTGTGCATGTCAGTATGTGCAAGTCAGTGTGTGTGTGTGTGTGTGAGTGTGACTATGTGCTTGGTTGCACGTGCATTTGTGTCTATGCGCATGTGTGTGTCTGGGTGTGCGCGCATGTATTGGTGTGTAAGTGTGTATGCGGTGTGTGTGCATGTGAGTGTAGAAGTGCTTCTGCAAATCTCCCCTGAATGGTCTGGCCCTATTTCTCAAACTATGCCCTTAGTTCTAAAATCCCCAGAGTGGAAGCAGTGTATCTTTATCCACTGTCTTTTCCTGTCAATATCTTGAAGACTTCAATCAGATCTCCCCTTAACCTTCTGAGTTGTAGAGGAAACAGGCCTCATTTGTATAATAGCTCCTCATAACTTAACCCCTGAAATCCAGGTGTCATTCTTGTAAACCAACGTTGCACTCCCTCCAAGGCCAATCTATCCTCTGTGAGGTGTAGTGCCCAGATCTGCTCCGGCAGGGGGGTGGGGGTTAACCAGGGTTTTGTATAACTGCAGCATAACTTCTATGTCTTTGTACTCCAATATTTTTCATTGCTGTATTCCATGTATTTTCTTTTGACCACTTACTAAATTTCTTTTCATTGTTTTACAAACTCACCACCTCCTCGATTCATTCTGCTAAAAATGGCAAATGTAGCTGTGATGTGGAAGGCTGATTCATCCTCATTATTCACATAAATTTAATGACTTGGGATAGAATTGCATTGGAGGCAGTTCAGAGGAAGTTCACCAAGCTGATTCTGGAGGTGAAGGGTCTGTCATGAGGAGAGATTGGACAGTTCAGGCCGAAACGCTCTGGAGTTTAGAAGAATGAGAGGGGATCTAATTGAGGGATATAAGATAATAAAAGCAGGGGTGGGGGAGCAGGTGTGAGGGGCATGGGGGTGGGATGTGGATTGCCCCTCATGTGGGGCAGTCTAGAACGTGTTTCAGGATAACGGGCTGGGACAGATTTAAAACAGAGATGAGGAGGAATAGATAACACAGTGTGGAGTGGGGGAACACAGCAGGCCAGGCAGCATCAGAGGAGCAGGAAAGCTGACGTTTCGGGTCGGGACCCTGCTTCAGAAATGACTTCTCTCAAAGAGGGAGGAGGGTGTGAATCAGTGGGAATTCATTCCCCACAGAGTATGCAGGGGATGCCGGGACATTGAATAAATTAAAGGAAGAGACAAACAGATTTTTAATCAGTGACGGGTTAAGGAGAGCAGGGGCAGGGACATGAAGTTGAGGTCAAGATGAGATCAGCCATGTGGAATGGGGGAGCAGTCCCCAAGGGGCTGAATGGTCTCCTCCTCTTCTAGTCCTCATTTTTCACTGAGCCATCGATATAGTCACTGAATGATTTTCCTTTCAAGTCAATTAAAAAAAAATCAACATTTTAGCCCTTCGCTATGTGTCTGTGGTTGCCTGTCTACGACTTTGTATGAATTTTGCGCATTGTCACAATTCTATGCAGAATGCAAATGTCCAAATTGCACCGATTGAGTTGCAACATTAGTCACATTGTAACCTTGTGTCATTTGACAGTTCCTCAGATGACAGGTGAAGCAATAATTTCATCCCAGCTACAATTAATAACTGGGAACCAGTGAACCAGTGTCAAATGAGATGGTAACAGTACGACAAGAAATGAAACAAGACATCGGTGAGGCCAAATTCGTAGTACCGTGTACAGTTCTGGTCACCCTGCCACAGGAAGGATGTGGTTAAACTGGAAAGGGTGCTGAAAAGGTTTAAAAGGATGTTGCCAAGGTGGAGGGTTTAAGCTATAAGGAGCGGATAAATAAACCAGGACTTTTTTCCCTGGAGCATTGGAGGCTGAAGGGTGACCTTATAGAGGTTTATAAAATCACGAGGGGCATAGAATAACGTTGTTGTAGCAGCCCGTGACTGAGTTGACAAGATGGCCACTTGGGGTATTTAGCTAACACAAAATGGCCGAAAGGATTTGACAGTTACATACAGTAGATGTTCACAGCTAGACGTGTGGTCTCCATACAGATATACTAGATGAGATTCTCCATAGGAAGAAACATTAGGCAAGTTAATCAGGTTTCAGTCAGCATGCAGTTCTAAACATATAAGCATTTTAATAACGGGCTTTTGTGTAAGGCCTTTTTTAACCACAGTCTCAAGCTTGTTATTAAGTAAAAAGTAGAAGGAAAAGTCTGATTCTACAGTATTTTAAACTGTTTACATAATTGTAGAATTAGAAAAGCAAACAACGAATCAGTGAAAAGGTTAGTTGCCTTCCATGAGCAAATGTTTCTTGGTAATAAAGAGGCCCAATGCATTATTTGGGAAGGTAAAGTAATAATTGGTGTAAACATGACCTCCAGAAACAACCGTTGTCATCAGAGGAGGGCATTGGAAAGGTTGTAAAAAAAGAGGTCACGACGAGGAAAGACAAACAATTGAAGCTTAGTGCAAATAGACATAATTTGAACAAATTCTTACATCCAATGATCAAGGGAAGAGTGACAAGACAGGTTACAAAATAAAAAATATGGCTGTTCCCTTGTTGTTTGTGGAATCTAAACAAGTTTCATTTAATAGGTTGGTAAAGTTGAAAAGGCCAGAAATCACATGACACCAGTTTATAATCCAACAGGTTTATTTGTAAACACAAGCTTCGGCGCCTTACTCCTCCTTCAGGTGTTAGTGAGAGAGATAGTATCTGACACAGAATTTATAAGTAACAGGTCAAAGGGTCACACCACTGATGAGGATGTATTAAACAAACCTAAGATGCTGTTAAAACTTTAATCAGTTAGAAGGTTTTAATTGATTAATATGTATATGTAAATCCCCAAATTCCTTTCAAGTGACTGTCCTGAGAGTACTAAAGGTTTTATCAGCGTAAAGAAGAAGTGACATTTTAGGTCAGAGGCTTCATAGCTGACATGCATTGTCTGACCTAAAAAGTGAACTGAGGGGCAACTTTTTCATGCAGAGGGTGGTGTGTATATGGAACAAGCTGCAAGAGGAAGTGGTGGAGGTGGGTACAATTTCAACATTTAAAAGACATTGTACGGCGACATGGATAGGAAAGGTTGGAGGGATATGGGCCAAATGGAGACAAATGGAACTAGTTTGGTTTGGGAAACCTGGTCAGCATGGACGAGTTGGACCGAAGAGTCTGTTTCCATGCTGCATGACTCTGTGTCTTAATGCCTCATGATTTCTTGTGAAACTAGGAAGGAATTAAGCTATGCTGAGGAGACAAAGAATGAATGAATGAATGATGATTTATTGACACTTGTACTCTACAATGAGAAACACAGTAAAATACAGTGAAAAGCTTCAACCGTTGCTACAATTTGGCACCTTTTGTATATTTTAAGAATAAAAAGATAACACTGAAAGAACGTCTATCTTTGTTCCGCAGCCTCTACCATAAGTCCTGAGCCAGCTGATCAATGATACCTGCTCTGCCGCCCGTCAGCCGCCTCCGCTGGACCCATCAACGTAGGAGTTGCCGATACTCAGGCACCATCTCTGTGTTGCTGGGCCCACTTTGCCAATGGGCTGCTGAGACTGGCTCCTGTGCTGGAACCACACTCACCCAGAAACCAGTTGTCACTAGCTCTGTTGCTGCCACTGCCGCACCGATAACCAGAAAGACCCTGGTTCCAGGCCTGCCACAACCAGGGGCTGCCGCCATGCCAATAACCAGGGGCCCCTGGCTCTGCTGCCACTGCTGAGTTGTCAACCAGGAAAACCCAGCTCCAGGCCTACCACAAGTAGGAGAACCCAGCTCCGGACCTACCACAATCTGGAGACCCCAGATCCAGGCCTACCATAACAAGGAGACCCTAGCTCCGGCCTACCATAACCAGAAAAACCCAGCTCCGGGCCTACCAAAACCAGGAGAACCCGGCTCCAGGCCTACCACAAGTAGAAGAACTCAGCTTTGGGCCTACCACAACCGGGAGAACCCGGCACCGCACTTACCACAACCAGGAGACCCCGGCTCAGGGCCTACCATAACCAGGAGACCCCAGTTCCAGGCCTACCAAAACCAGGAGAATCTGGCTCCGGACCTACCACAAGTAGGAGAACCGGCTCCGGGCCTACCACAACCAGGAGAACCTGGCTCCGGGCCTTATA